GAAAGGACGCTTGGGAGTGATTGTGTCAATAGCCTTGGTGAGGTCGGTATTCCAGATATTCACCAAGGCTTCAACAGAATCACCGACGTTGCCCACCATTAAACCCTCCAAGGCTTTCTGGAAACCAATGGGTTCCATTAGCCTTCGAGGGCAAACCATTCTAATAGGTCCATCACCCCCGGGGGGGACAAGTAATAGCCTTGAGTTCCACCCTGATCAGAAAATGATCCGTCCATGACAGGGGGGAGGTTCCCTTGACTTTCACCCATGGATATTCCTGCTCCGTAATAAAGACTGCATCGAGAGTATGACCTGCACAATGTGTGGGCCCATTGACCCACTGGGATAGGCCCATGATTGTCATGGTATCCATGAACTCCCGAGCTGCTCCAGATAGATCCTGTAAACTGGTTTTGAGTGGAATGTTGAAGTCGCCCAGAACCAATAGTCTGGGCGACTCCAGCAGCAACTCAGAAACCAGGGCGATCAGCTCGGATAGGGAGTCTGTTAGGCAACGGGGTGGCTGGTATACTAACAGAATCCCCAAACTATCCCTGGTCTTCAGGCTAAGGTACATACACTCGATGTGCATCGATTTCTGGATAGGTTTCCTGATCAAGGTCAAGGTGTTCCTGTGGACCAAGGCTATACCACCACCCCGCCCACTTTCCCTCACCTGCTCACTAACTGAGTACCCAGCTGGGAGAGCCTGCACCCAAGTTGCAGAGCTGGCCTCCCCCAGCCAGGTCTCAGTAAAGCATGCCAGGTCGACTGCTTCATCCACCAAAAGATTGTGGATGATGTGGGTCTTGTTTTGACTGACCTGGAATTGCAAAGGAGCAGGTTAAGGGTCAGTGGAGTGGTAGGCACGTTCTCCAAGTTATCCTGGGAAACAGAACAGACTGAAAGAGGGATAGATATCAAACATCGATCCCTCCTTCTTTTGTAACATCTGTCTGCTCTGTTGCCACCATACCTTCCCTGCCCCCATATAACCGGGATATTCGCCCCCAGGTAACAACCTTCCCTGATTCGCAAAGGGGGAGAAGAGTGGTCCAAATGGCTGTACTCCCTTATGTGAGACTGCGACTGCATATTAAAGTCAAAACTAAAAGCAGAGTCAGGCCGCCCAGGCCCCCCAGATGGAAAAAAATCAGGGCTAAAGGCAGAGCCCTCCAGAGTCCTCTAAAGCCCAGGGCCCTTCTTCAGGCCTCTGCCAGGCTGGAAGAGTCGCCACTGCCACGTGTGCCGGTGAGGGTGTTCCGGGATGGGGTTTAAGCCTGCCGGCATTCTCCCCGGTCCCACGGC